TACTGAAGAAGGCAGTTCTATTTTCAGGGTTTTTAATACCATATCAGGATGCCCCCACAAGCAATTCCCGATCATGGCATCAAACATTTTCCACAGTGTTCCACACTGGTACTCACACTGTTCCTGCAGGCTGTTCCACGTCTCCTGGAGTCTACTTCCAAACTGTGCAACTTTCCAGGATGGATTTGGGGGTAATTGGGATGAAGAATGCTTGGTGTGCACAAGCATGATTTATTAGTAGAGCTGGGAGATGAGAATCTACACTCAGGAGACTGAGATGGATTGGAGGCAATGGGCACTATGTTGGTCTCTGCAGTGGCATAGCAAATGTCATTAGGGATCCCTGCAGAAGTACAAAACAGCAGCAGAGGAACAGGGGTGGACTCCTGTTGATCTGACCCTTGCCTGCTTCCCAGAAGGGTTTTGTCCATGTCTAGCTCTTAGGATTTGGGTCAAATCCTGACCCATGCAGCTGCAGAAGTTCCTTCCACAAGGGAATGGTGTTGGTTTAACATCCTTTTCACAATGTGTCCCTGAAATCCCTCTGGAGGGGCAGATTGAAACATAAGGGATTTCCCTGGAAAGCCCACCAACCCATCTTTTTCCCTTCTTTAGGTACTGATTTCCACTTTGGTTTCTGCTTTGCCAAAAAGTCTGCATAGATAAATTCTTTTTGGAAAGGGTGAGAGTAAAGGAACTCCTTGTAGAAGACAGAAGAAAAGGAAAACATCATTAAAAATAAGGAAGAAGTATGATTCTAAGCACTAGAAAGGATGCTCCAAGCCCCATTCCTCTCTGGGTGCTGGGAAGAGCAGTGGGGGCTGAGCCCTCCTTGACTTCTCCGTGTGCTGTCGGAGTGACAGATGCTGCATTATTTCTCCAGGCACTTCCACCGTGCTTTGCTCATTTGCCTTGGTAGCAAGAAGAAAAATTCCAAATGGTTGCAGCATTTTTTTTTTTCTTCTGTTAGCAGTGAGTAAGGACAGAGCGTATTCATATCCCATGTTTTCTCACAGTAACAAGGACTGAGCTTTGCAGGGCCAGGCAGCTTTCCGCCTCTGGCAAAAGGGATATTTTGTTTGATATTGAGGGATTTTTTTTTTTATGGGAAGCCCCAGGAACAGAGGATTAGCTTGATGACAGTAGCTTTCACCCTGCTGGGATGTCAGCAGTGTGTAGCAAGGTCAGGAGAAAGAAAAGCAGAGGGAGGCAAATCTTGGACGATTGCACGTATGAGCACATGGGCAGAGAGAGAGTAGTTGGGATATGGCTGATCAGGGTGTTTGGAGAGGTTCTATGGGCAGTGGTAGAGAAGAATGCCTTCTCAGCAGTCATTGATTTGCTATTTTTCCCATTTTTAATTTTTTTTTTTTTTTTTTTTTATATGGAGTGTGTGTGTGCATGTGTGCATGTCTAACAGTGCCCTCCATTGGCCAAATCCAGACTAATGCACTGAAAGTCCCCTGTCACCAGCAACAATGAGAAAGGTGGCTGTTACCCCACTGGGCAACTCACAGAGCCTGCAAAGCAGAGAACACTTCAGTTTTCATGTGCTTGATAGTCTTCTCCTGCCTGTGCAGAGCTGAGATCACTGTGCTGGGGCACAGCTGAAAAGCTGGGCATGGCAATGTGAAGATCTTCATCTGTGAGGTCATAGAATCATAGAATGGCCTGGGTTGAAAAGGACTTCAAAGATCATCTAGTTTCAACCCCCCTGCTATGTGCCAACCACTAGGCTGCTCAAAGCCACATCCAACCTGGCCTTGAATGCATCCAGGGATGTGGCATCCACAACCTCCTTGGACAACCTGGTCTTGATGGGATGGAGTGAATTGTTATGAAGGACTATGCAGGATGGCAGGAAAAAGAGATGTAAGCAGAGTCAGGGCAAGCCCCAGTGCCTCCCTGCTCACACTTATCCCATACAGTTACAGGATCACAGAATGGCTGAGGTTGGAAGGGACCTCTGGGCCTATGGGGTCCAACCCCTGTTCAAACAGGAATACTTTCAGCCCAGGACCATGTCCAGATGGCTTTTGAAGATCGACAGCCTCTCTGGGTGATCTCTCCAGGCTAGATATGGCACGCAGATGTATGCAGAAAGAAAGGGATGTGAGAGTGGAGGGAATCTGCAGCCTTAGCCCCAGATTCACCATTGCTGTGGGACACTGAGGGGCACCACCAAACAGCTCATCGAGGCTGGCAAAAAACTTCCAGGGACTGCTGAAGATCCCTCGAGCAGTCCAGGTCCTATGTGAAATACATGATACAGTCTTTGCCTGGGTTTGTTTAAGTTTCAAAGACCTATGTGGTGCTGTATTTCTGACTGTGCTTGGTTCAGTGTGTGCCAGGGTGGGGTGGCAAATGCTCAGCAAGAGGAAGTGCGAAAAGGTTACACTGGTTGCTGGCTATGATGTGAAGGTGCATGTAGCATTTTTAAGCCTTCATTTGACCATCTCTAATACATACACAAAGAAATGAAGACAGCAGGATCTATTTTTCTATGGCTGGTTTTCTATGGCTGTTTGGGATGAAAAGTTGTCTTTCACCAGGCACATATTTTTTGCCCTTTGGTTTGTCCTTGTGAAATACAGGCAAGGGATGGTCCATGAAATTTCATAGTAACCTGCTGTTCTCAAGCCTTTCTTCAGCAAAGTCTCTGCCAGACTCTTCTCTCACTGGAATATGGTTGACATGTTGTACAGGCTGGAGCTAAAGAATAGGACGAGGCATGGATCTCTCTCCAAGAGAGATCCAAGCTAATTAGATATTACCTGTGACAACTACCATGGGATTATAGGCCAGTTGACCTATGTGCCATTGATCTGTGATCTTCAACAGTGGGATAACCTGTCTTTTCATGCTGTTTATATCAACTCCTCACATGGAGACTACAGACACTTTTGTACCTCCCTGCTGGGATTTTGCTGGATTAAAGCATAGAAGATTGATCTCTTTGCTAAAATGCAGCATCCAAACCACTGCCCATCACTTATTCCCCATATGTATTGTGCCAGAGATCCTGGCATGGAGGGGAAGGGTTGCTTACTCACTTCTGCTTTAAGAAAAGATTCCTACTTCAGTAAGAGTCAACTGACGGAGAAAAAATATGTTTATGTTCCTTATGGTGAAATCTTCCAGATGGGGCTGTATTCAGGGGAAATAAATTCTGAGGCCTAACAACCATAATACAGTGTCCCATTAACGGGTCTGTTTAGTTAAAGTTTGTTGACTTTTACAGCATTTTTCCCAAAAAGGGGCAAGAGGGAGGTGCATTTTATGCTTTCTGTGTCCTCATTCAGTAACAGAGTTGTGACTGGCAGAAGAAAAATTGAGTTGATGGAAGGCAGGATGAATCCCACACGCTGAAGTCACCATCAGGGACTGGATTTTGGCACAAGCCATCAGCACTCGGCGCTATCTTATCATCTGGTTGCTATGGAGGCACATGCTGGCTCCTGCAGGTTTCTTCATGAGCTGGACCAGAGGTTAGAACGATTCTGGCTGGCTTATGGGTGTGAAGGTCAGATAGATTTAATCTATGCACCCACTACCAAACAGCATTAAATGCTCAGGAGCTGCCCTAAAGCAAACGAGTGAAGAAGAGGAGGTCCCCTCCTCTGTGTTCCTTTTCAGTAGGCAAGCATGCTTTGCTCACCAAAGCTGATATTTAAGGCATTCACAGTCATCTGCAGGCAACCCCTCCTGCTAATCATGATGACCTTTCTGGAAATTTATAGGATGTTTGCTTGATGCCTGTGGTTTTCTTTGCAACCATGAGCTACTTTGTACATCCACTGAGCAGGCTGCTGTTCCTGAAATCCAGCCTCCAAGGCTGGCACGGGGAGATGTGCACTGCAGAGTTCTGCAGGCTGCAAAGCACTGATGGGAGCAGGGATGTGACTTCTTAAAAATTTAAGTGCAAACGCATTTGGACTCCATGTTGATTAGTGTCAGGTCTAAAAGACACTCAGGAATCTGCTGGCAGAGGCTGCAGTGATTTGAAGCTCAGCTGAAACCCAGTTTGCAAAGAGTGGAACTGGCTTTACAGTTATCTAACCCTTTCTTTCCCAGAAAAAAAAAAAAAAAAAAAAAAAAAAGCTTTTACAGAAGAGAATCAATGCAGAGATAAAACTTTGGTACATATAATCAGGAACCCAGGAACGAGGTGGGAGAGGGTAGGGTTATGGGTGGCAACGTGGACATGATGGGAATGTAAAGAGGATCAAAACTGCTGGCTGTGATGGGAGAAGGTGTATGCCTACATGCCCCCTGGTACTCAATGCCCTTTTCCACATCCTGAGCACGTCTTTCACCCTAATTCCTTCCTGACCATACCAGTTTGGTCTTTGATCAATAAGATGCACATCTCAGAGGGCCTGAGTTATTTTTGGTTTGCATCCCAACATTAGTTGCTGAGAAGCTGGGTTGTTTACACTTATGCAGAGGATCTGAGTGCTTGCCTTGTGGGTTCGTTTTAAGACCATAGAAGCAGTCTGAGTTTGGTAGAGGAAACCTTCACACAGGGGTGGGTGCAAGCTAGGGTGACTGCCTTTTATGTAAAGAGCTGAAATCCATCTCCAGACCCCTTCATCTCTCCTATGCTAAGTGCATGGCTCCCAATCCTCATCTCCTTTCTTTGGGGAGAGGTTTAGAAACCACTACAAAGGCTTTTCTCAGCTCAGCATGGGCAATGCATAGGCAGAGGGAATTAGAAAAGGGGGGAACTAGAAAAGTTGTGTTGTCCTCCACTATGGGTCACACTGTCCTGATGTGGAGACACATCAGGCTGGGACATTTAACAGATGGGGACATCTCCAAACCTCATGGTGGCACGGGGCTGAATCTCCACCAGCACTGGGATCAGGGATGCTGCCTGGATTGTCGACCTTGCAAAGGGTTAATTAAAAAAAATTAAGAACAAATCCCAAATCTCTTCTTTTTCTCTCCCCTCCTCCTTTCCTTCCTTCCCTTTTTTTCTTTTTTTTTTTTTTTTCCAGGTGTTGTTGATGGCCACAGGAGGGAGCTCAAATCCAGACATGGGAGGATTGGCTTGATTTCTGATCCAGAGCCACTTAAACTCTCACTTTTCCTCTAAGCTGGTCCCTGTTATGTCCAGGATCTGGCACCTGCTTGACATTTACTTTGAGTTCCAGAGGACCAGAGACCTAGGATGAGGAGCATTGGATCTGCCCTGAACCTGCTTTTGGTATTGCCACTCTACTTTGTGTGGACCGTGGTCGCTCTGGACCTGGCACAAAATCCCTGCACCACTTTGGTCCAGGGGAAATTCTTTGGATATTTCTCCTCCTTTGCCGTCTTCCCATTGAACTCCTCACTCTGCTCTTGGATTATCCAGAACCCTGACCCTCGGAGATACACCTTGTACATGAAGATCCTCAAACCTACCGGCATATGTGACCACCAGCACATCCGCACCTACCAATTTGACTCCTTCCTGGAATCCACCCGCACCTACCTGGGCATGGAGAGCTTTGACGACGTGTTGAAGCTCTGTGATGGGTCGACCCGCTATGCTTTTCTCCAGTCTAACAAACAGTTCCTCCAGATGAAGCAGACTGCACCTCCAGGAGTAGAGAACGGACCGGTGCGGTGGAAACCCATCAAGGCTCAGGAGAGAGACTTCTCGGTGGAATACCTCGTGGTGGGCAACAGGAATCCTAGCAAAGCTGCATGCCAGATGCTCTGCAAGTGGCTGGATGCGTGCTTGGCCATCAGCAGCAGCTCCCACCCATGTGGCATTATGCAGACTCCGTGCTCTTGCTCAGGAGGGGAGATCCTAGATCAAGCCAGTGAGATCCTGGGGTTCCCGAAGAAGAAGGAAGATTGTTATAAGGATGGAATTTACTTAGAGAATTGCCTGAGCAGCCCCAAGGACAGCAGTGGAGTGGAGTTCCTGGGTGAGTGAAGGGCAGATGGGGGTGGTTGGGGAGGAAAGGTTGGTTGGGTTCTCCCCTCTGTATCTCATACTGTTTCTACCATGTGTCTATTTGGTCCTGTAGATACCTGCTATGGAAAACTTCTTTGCTAGTTTATAGGAAGATGTAGCAGATCATAAGGTGGTTCTTCATGAGCTGTTAACCCTAAATGTGCCCCAGATAATTCCATTCCTTCTCAGGGCTCATTCCTCGAGAGAAGTGTTTTACTTCTGCATCCTCAGAGTGGAGAAGGGTAAGTCTAGTCTGAGGCCAAGCAGATTCCCAGTGCAATTAGAAGTGTCCTAGAAGAGGCAGAATCAAGTGACCTTCCAAGGTGGACAACACACAGCAGCCCTGTGGACTATTTAAATTAATGGGAAAACTTGATTTCCAAGTTAGGTTTGGGTGAGTGGCAGCAGCAGGCATGTTTGTGTTGTTCTCAGATTCACAGCTTTATTTTCGTTCTGGAGGTTTTCAACAAGAAAGCTCAATCACACTGCTTGCATGGGGCCATTCAGTGCCTTTGCTTGGGTCCATTCCTCAGGTATTTTGTCAGTGTTTTGTTCTTGTGATGTTGAGTATGACAGAGACCATGAAAAGGATTGGGAAGGGTCATGAAAAAGGGTTGAGAATAAGGATGAGGTGCTTCTGAGATTTGATATTGCTGTGTTGCAGCTGCTGAGACATTTGGCAGTGTTCAGAGCAGGGAAATGCTCCTCGCAGTGATTTCCATGGGTGGTAAGTGCCATGCAAAGCAGAAGGGAACTGGATGGTCATAAAGCAGAGCTGCTATTTTGGTGCCTGTGTCATATCCGCTCTGCTGTGTTTCTTCTCTGCTCCCATCCCACCTGCCAGCAGGCAGCTTATGTAAAGCAGGGGCATGATGCTAAAAGGGAGTATGGGCAATGGGGAGGGCATTTTCCAATTCTTCGAAGTTCAAATCTGCACCTCAACAGCACCTCAGGGTTTTACCTCCTTCAGGTCTCAGACCAGAATGTCCTCTGTCACCTGCAGAAAGCTGGCATCCAGATGGGACAGGGCTTTGCAGGTCCTGCCTGGATTTTGCAGCCATCCCCAGCTGGGAGAATTTCTGTGCAGTTCTGCAGGTGGAAAGAGGCTAAATTTACTTGCAGTAGGCAGGGGGTTATCAGGCACGGGTCCAAGCTTTGCGGTGTGATTTTCTTGCAGATCGCAGCCCAGAGTTAGCTGAGAGATTAGGATATGATCAGGTATTAGTGCTTCCGTCAGTGTATTTTGAGGAGATTTTGTTTCTCACTGCTCTGCGAATCGATACGTGGAGGCACACAGCCGAGCCATAAATCCTACAAATGAGTTCTTCAGCTGTGCCTCTCACTCTGGCTATGAGCACACCGCAGTATTCACTCCCTGGATCTCAGATTTCTTTGCAATGCCCTTTTCTCCTGTGTGAACAGCTCGCGAGCAGTACCACCACGTTGGCTGCCTCCTCGGAGTGATGTGAGCTCCATTAAGTCATGCGTCAGCCTTTGCATGTGCCAATTGGGTGTTTTTTTTGCCTTCAACCCGAGCAACGCCACCTTTTCCATTGCAACCAAAGGTGAAATTTGAAAAAAGATTTCCAGAAAATCCCGAAGCAGTCAAGCTTAATATTGGCTTTTGTAAAGATCTCTCCTAGTCCAGCTTGAGTGCTTGAATGTCCCTAGAAAATAAATATGAAAGAGGCTCAAAGGTGGATATACCCAAATCCTTTTTGTGCGCTGAATATTTGTAGAGAGCATAGATAGTTGTTTTTTTTTTTTTTTAATTTTTTTTGCTGGCTGCTCACATCTGTTACGTATTGAAGGCACAGAATTAGCATTGTTGCTGGTGGGATGTCATCTACATGGAAACGAAGCTTGCAGGGCGCCTGGCCTCTCTGTGTGCTGCTCTGTCTGTCACTGTGTCTGGTTTGATTTTTGCAAAGGCTTGATCAGGAGGATGGAGGCAAGATCCAATTTGGACAGAGAGCCAACGATCCCTGAGCAGCATTTTGTGGGTGGAATATTTTGACAGGGTTCCTGGTTTCTGAGTACTGCTGCTGATTATTGCTGTTATTGTCCTGATTGTATTTACAACATTCTTTTTCTTTTTTTTTAAACAATATTTTTTGCTGCTGTATCCTGAGTCATTTGTTGTTTTGGAACCTGTCTTGACACTTTTGTCTTAGAACAAGGGTATATGTCTCTATTGCACTACCATTGTCTGATGATTTTCAAAGTATGTATGGAATTGCCAAATACCCAGACACCATAAAACATGGAGCCTGTTTTTCCCCAGTGTGCCTGTTCTGTACCTGGGATATTTCCAAAGCAAATGGGTACAAATTTACAAAGGATACAGTAAAACACTGTCTTAGAAGCAACTGCACTTTGGCTCACAGAGTATTTGGGATGAGATTCCTTTTGAAAATGCATATTCCTCATCCTGGGACATCTGTATAACAAAGAACAGAGAATACAGGCTGTGTGTTGGACTAGGAGATTCTCAAGAGCAGTTCAAGAATAGATCAATTAGGCTGGACATTGGCTTTAGTGGCCAAAGAGCAGAGCTGGGAGATGCAGTTTCTGCAATTGAGCAAGTCACAGATCTTCTAACCATGGATAGGCAGTGAGCATGGAGTTTATGGCTGACCCTGGCCATTGCGTTTACAGGTAGATTTCTCTGAAAGCAATGCCTGCTATTTATTTCTATGCAACCTACAACAAATAGCACAACACCACTCTTTGATAGGGCAAATTGTCAGCTACAAAACAACATTTTTTTAACAGACACCATTAGTTATGCATTTTCACAAGTGATGAACAAATGGTAGTAAGAATTCATACCAGCAGAGGTGACCCAGTGTCTGTCTCTACTTCTGAAATGCACCACCCACCACCTCACTGTGCTGATACATACCTGCTGTTTGGTCTCCATAAACATTCAGCAAGCATCGTTGAATGTCAGTAGGTGCAATTTCTTTTTTTTTTTCTTTTTCTTTTTTTCTTTTTTTTTTTTTTTTTTTTTTTGCAGAGGAATTCAATTCCACACATTTGCTTTATATGCATTTCCATGTCAGAATACTGATGGGGCAGCCCTCATACTTGGCACATAGAAATGCTTGTGGACAATTATTGCCCATGTAATTTAATGAAGTAAAGATTTTTGGGCAGCATCAACTCTCTCTTAGTTGATTCAGGCAGCATAGGAATAACACAGAGATTGTTTGTGGGTCTTAATGTTTAGAGGTAAAATCTTTGGAAAAGAAAGTTGGCATTATTAGGAGTCACTCACATGCAGGTTAGAGATACAGGTCCTCTGGGTCTGCAGGTGGGCATGCCTCCTGAAACACTGGACTAGAAAATCTGGAAATCCTGGTGGCCCTTCCAGGTGTAAGCTGGTTTTAATGCAAAAAGGGCTGGAGCTCTAAATGGGACAATGATGTGACACTGTAATGAGAGAAGGTTAAATGTGTGCTTAAGTGCTGTGCTGAGTTAGGTACTTAATGGATGTCTAATTAGTCCTGTCTCATTGTAATCTGTTCCTGGAAGGCCACTGCAATGCTGTCACATTGTGATAACCCAGAGAGATAACCATCAAGTGCTGGTCCTGCTGCTTTGCACATCCCCACCTCTCAGAGGGATTGATGATGCGGACTGCAGAACAAAGTTAATTGTGTGCAATGGTAAAATAGATGGCTCCAGGGCTGGAGGGGTTTTTATGATGAACAAAGCTGATCAGTTCCATGTCTTAGTCAGAGAATTTTGCCAATTCATTCCAGCAGAGAAGTTGAAACTGAGATTGAAATGGACCTGCTCAGTTCTCAAAACAACCAACCAACCAACCAAAAAAAAACCCAACAGTGAATCAGGATATAACTAGTTTGAAGTGCTGGGGGTTTTCCTGCCTTTGGTGATAAACTTTTCCGTTGCTTTTCTGTTCCCTTTGCTTTCAGCAGGTGCAGACTCTCCTTTCTCTTGAATGCTCAATTGCTTCATGGTGTTTTTTATGATGTTTCACTTTTTCAGCCCTGAGATGTTTTTCTTCCTTTGCCTGCTAGATTAAGAATACATTTAGTGCCCATCCTCTACTGTTTGAAGAGGCATTTATAGACTCATGAACAAGTTACTTCTTAACCTCTGCTGCATTAAGTAGGCTGAAGTTCGTAAATCTCTCTCTGTGGACACATCCTCCAAACCTCTAATTGTTATTTGGGGCTTTGCTTCATGCCTAAGCATAGGGCTGAGCTTCTGCATAGCACTGGCGTTCAAAGCATAGGATAGAACCAGCTGCCAAACTCCCTGCTGCAGGAATCATGTTGTTTGGTGCAGCTGTTTCCCTTGAATCTCCCTCAGGGTAGGAAGAAGTCAATAAATCATTGTGCATGTTTGTGGTCAGCTGTGGTGACCATGAAAGCTTAGGAACTGATAAAAAGCTGTGAGTAATTGCCTAGGAGTAGGTTCTCAAGCTTCTCTATTGGCCTCTTTCTACACTATGGGCTCTATCCTCCCAGCAGGAGTCCACCTGGTTCATTCCCCTGGGTTTGTGGAGAAAGGAATTTGGCTTTGTGATTGCCTCATTTTTGGATTTGCAGACAAAGTGGCAATGGGAGTTGAGTGCATTCAGTTTCGTTGTTTCTCTTTTCTCTTAACATGAATTTACACGGTGATGGGTTGACCACTGGACTAGATTGTATTAGTGGTCTTTTCCAATCTTAAAATTTCTATGATTCTACTTAAGGAAGGTGTGCTGCTTTCCATCTCCTCATTTCTCCATCTGAATTTGCCAGATGTCTGTTTTGCCCCAGTCTATACATTCTTGAGAGCAGAGTAAGACCATCAAATCATGGGGCAACAAAAGACTGGCTTATACCATATAATTTTTTGTTGTTGTTGTTGTTATCTTATCATAAGATCATACAATCATTTATGTTGGTAGACATCTTTAAAATTATCTAGTCCAACCCTTGACCCATCACTACCGTG